TTGGGATTATATTTCATATGTTTTAAGTATTTCCCCACATCCAAAGTGGGGTTCTTGTTTTCTCTGCACACCCCGCGCAGGAACCCTCACCCCACCCCCTCTCCTCTTCTGCCTTCGCACACTCACTCACTCACTCATCATCATCATCACCACTCACTCATACTCACACTCACTCACACTCTCTCATCATCAACATCAGCATCATCACTCGCGCTCTCTCACACGCTCAGTCACTCACATACTCATCATCATCATCATCATCATCATCATCATCATCATCATCGCACTCTGTCACACGCTCACTCATTCACATACTCACCTGGAGGAAGTCTCAGGCGGGAGCTTCGTCTGTGAGTGAATTGTTCCCCACATCCTAAGTGGGGTTCTTGTTTTCTTTGCACACCCTCCGCGCAGGATCTCCTCATCCTCCTCCTCCTCCCTCTCCTCTGCTCTTCTTTGCTTCCTCCTCCGCATCATCATAACCATCACCATCACTCCCCACTCATCATCATCATCACCATCAGCATCACCATCACCATCGCACGATCACTCACCATCATCGGCATCGAATGATCATCATCATCATCATCATCATCATCATCATCATCATCATCATCATCATCACTACTCGCTGACTTGAGGCCTGAGTATGGGGGAAGTATCAGGCGGGAGCCGCGTCTGTGAGTGAATCGTGAGGAAGTCTCAGGCGGGAGCCCCCTCCCTATGGGGCCCGCACTTCATGTTCGAATCCGAGCGGGTCGTCCGAAACGTGCAACTGTCGTCACTTTTGGGCTCTTGAGACCTGAATATGGAGGAAGTCTCGAGCGGGAGCCTCGTCTGTGAGTGAATTGTGAGGAGGTCTCAGGCGGGAGCCCCCCTCCCTATGGGGCTCGCACTTCATGTTCGAATCCGAGCGGGTCATCCGAAACGTGCAATTATCGTCACTTTCGGGCTCTTGAGACCTGAATATGGAGGAAGTCTCGAGCGGGAGCATCGTCTGTGAGTGAATTGTGAGGAAGTCGCAGGCGGGAGCCCCCTCCCGATGGGGCCCGCACTTCATGTTTGAATCCGAGCGGGTCATCCGAAACGTGCAACTATCGTCACTTTTGGGCTCTTGAAACCTCAATAGGGAGGAAGTCTCGAGCGGGAGCCTCGTCTGTGAGTGAGTTGTGAGGAAGTCGCAGGCGGGAGCCCCCTCCCTATGGGGCCCGCACTTCATGTTCGAACCCGAGCGGGTCATCCGAAACGTGAAATTGTCGTCACTTTTGGGAGGACGTCTCGAGCGGGAGCCTCGTCTGTGAGTGAATTGTGAGGAAGTCTCAGGCGGGAGCCCCCTCCCTATGGGGCCCGCGCTTCATGTTCGAATCCGAGCGGGTCATCCGAAACGTGCAACTGTCGTCACTTTTGGGCTCTTGAGACCTGAATATGGAGGAAGTCTCGAGCGGGAGCCTCGTCTGTGAGTGAATTGTGAGGAGGTCTCAGGCGGGAGCCCCCTCCCTATGGGGCCCGCACTTCATGTTCGAATCCGAGCGGGTCATCCGAAACGTGCAACTGTCGTCACTTTTGGGCTCTTGAGACCTGAATACGGAGGAAGTCTCGAGCGGGAGCCTCGTCTGTGAGTGAATTGTGAAGAAGTCTCAGGCGGGAGCCCCCTCCCTATGGGGCCCGCTTCCCGAGGCGCTGGCCGAGGCGGCGACGGCGCTGAGGATAGTGGATTTGCTTGCCCCGACGAGGGGGAAGGGGAGGTGCACATGGAGAAAAGGCAGGGGGATGAGGAGGGAAGGGGCATGGGGGAGGCCGACGACGAGGAGGAGGTGGCGCGAGAGGAGGAGGAGGAGGAGGAGGAGGAGGAGGAGGAGGAGGAGGAGGAGGAGGAGGAGGAGGAGAAAGAGGAGGAGGAAGAGAAATATAAGGGGGAAGAGAGGGCAGTGCAGGGGGCGAGAGGAGAGGGTGTCCGCCAGGGGGAGGAGGAAATGGCAAAGGGTAAGCTAAACAGATTTTCATGTGGGGTCCTACCGTCGGAGTAATTTTTGTTTTTCGTCGAAAATCCCCCTGTAGGGGGACAGGCCCGACTTAATTCTATCGTGTTCGCAACATTGGATCTCAGGGGACTGACGGAGGGAGAAGATGTCGACCAGAGGCAACATTTTCCTCGGGTGTGCCAACCCCCCTGCCTATCAATCGGCACCACACAATCATATTCATACGATGTGCATGTCGGCCACGCCTCCATCGGAGGCGCATCTTGGGAGCAGGGAGCGCACCACCACCATCTGGGGGGATTCATGATGTGCTGATATGCGGGATTCAGGTGTGCATGATGTCACGCGAGAGCGCCCGAAACGATATACACCACCAGCCCTGACTACCCTCCGCCGTCATTCTCCAGGGGGTGGTGGTGGTATGTCTCCTTTTCCCGAGCATCGTACTCGTATGTCCTTACAGTGGAGACCCATGCCAAGAAACACCCTGTTTGCCTCCAGGGTGCCTGGGCTTCTTGGGTTTGCTATGGAAGGCGTGAGGTTCCCACACCAAGAATCAATGGACGTCTTGGGGTCTCAGGGCTGGGTTTCCCGTGGAAGGTTTCTTGTGGACTGGCCTCCATTGTAGGCGCTCCAATCGAAGCCACTGCTTACGTTTACTCGGGCATGTCCCTCTACAGGGGGAACATCCCAAAACAGTTGTTTGAAGTAAAGAATAGTCCAGGGACGACGTTTCGACTAGTGTCTGACCCTTTTGGCGAACCGTTTGACCATGTTGGCGCATTTGTTTTCTCGTTTTCCATGTTTCATCCAAAAACTCCCCCACCTTTGGTCAGATCAAGCTTCGCGCGGCCCGCTTAGCTTCGACTGGAAGAGGTGCGCTCTCGACCCGCGAATCAAACATGTTTCATCCAAAAGCCGCCTGTAGGAGGACACGCCCGACCGTCGATGCCCACGGGGCCCCGGCAGGCCTGGGCGCACCCCCCGGGGGTTCCCTGCGGTCGCTCGCCCGCGCCTCCCCCACTCGGGAGGGAACCAAAAACACGCGCAGACACAACGAGTCGCCGATCCCCAGGAAAAGACATGGGAAAAGATGGGCAGTGGGGGGGAAGGACAGAATCCCAGAAAATATCGCATATGTTCTGGGCTTCTATCCATAGTTATTTACGTGTGCATTTACCGCGGAAAATATGGAACTATGGGAACATACGGGGAAATATGAAATATGGCATCCTGTTATCTGTGTGTATTTATTTAATCGCTTCGCTCATTCCGCCGGCCCTGGAGCGCTATTTGGGGCCTCTTGGGGCCGCGGCCTCGTGGGGGCTTCTTGGGAGCGTCTTGGGGCTCCTTGGCGGCGTCTTGGGCCCCCCTGGGGCCTCTTGGGGGGCTCTTGGGGGCCCCTTGGGGCGGGAGGGGGGGTAGTCGATTACAGCCATGACATATAGCATCTTGTTGTCTGTGTGTATCTATTTCTGTGACCCAGGGCCCCTTCACCCACAACGTGCGCGGCGCTCCGCGGGCCTGGCCTCCCTGCGCGCCAGGGGTGGGCGCCCAGGCCCTTGTGCGGGGCCGACTGCGCGCCAAGAGTGCCCCCTCCGCCGGAGCGACCTCTGGTTCGGGTTCCTCGGGGCCCTGCCGACCGATCGTGGAGCAGGATCGCGTCGTACAAATTCAGGGCGGAGGTTTTTCGCCGTCATCGGCCTCTAGAGGCCCTCGCCGGGCCCCAGGGCCGTCGAAGGACGACTCGGGACGAGACACCGGCCCCCGGGAGAGGGTCGGGATTTCCAGGGGCGCCGCCCCGAGAACATCAGGGCGTCGCACGTCTGGGACAACAGCGCATTGCGCGCCTGGAGTGGGCCACCTGGCGCCCCCCTTAGGCCGCGCACCAAAGGGTCACTCTTGCCCAGGGTCACGTTTGCGTGGAGTGGGGGGAGCGGGAGCCACCTCCTGGAGGGGGCAGCTCCCGCACGCCAAGAGATGCATTTGCCTCAAGGCGGGCCCGTCCCTCTGCAGGGGGAATGTTCAAACATAGTGAAACAATAGCCTGGGGGCGATGCGTGGACCATTGTTGCACATTATGGGTATGTGTTTGGGGTATGTCTTATGTGTCGTCCAAAATCCGCCTGTGGGGGGACACGCTCGACTGAACATGTGTGCAAGCGGGTCAATGGAGACGAGGCGTGTTGCCAAATACAGTTTCCAGATGTCTGAAACCTCGAGGCATGTCTTGAACATGTAAGAAAACATGTCCTGATCCTGAACATGTTCAGAGCGTTCTTCAAACAGTTGGAGCACATTTTTTATTCAATGGTAGGATGGTTCGGGTGTCCATTGTCATGGTGTCCACAAACAAAAACACTTGTGAGCCAGCTCTCGCAGCGAATCGCTTCCCCTTTCGGCTCCCCTCTCTCGCTGGCCCCGTGCTCGAGTACCAGAACTCGGCACAGGCATGAGTTCTTGGAAACTCGCGCGGAGCCCTTGCACCGGCGCCGTACCCCGTGGCAGCGCCTCCGCCCCCGCCCCTGGCGCCCTGGCGCGCTCCGCGCGCCAGCGAGGGTGGTCCGGCGCCGATCCCAGAAATCCTGGCGGACCTCTGAGAGGCTATGCTCATGCCGTTCTTTGTTCTGCTACCCTCCAGTCGGGTGTTGCTAGAAGTGCCCCTGGCCCAAGGTGCCCCCCAGGATGATCGGGGGAGCCCACACGGCCTCCAGGGCCCCAGGGGCTTCCAAACGGAGCGAAATGCTGGGGGCACCCTGGGCCACGGGGTACTTTTCGGCAATCCCCCGTCCAGTCGCTTCACATCCCCCTCACGGGATGTCATCGCGAGGAGAGAGGGAGGAGGCACAGGAGGAGGAGGAGGAGGAGGAGGAGGAGGAGGAGGAGGAGCAGCAGCAGGAGGAGGAGGAGGAGGAAGAGCAGCAGGAGGAGGAGGAGGAGCAGCAGGACCCCACCCTTGAGGGGGGCCCCCCCCCTCCGCCTCGGAGCCCCGCCCCGCCGCGCCTGCGGGGAGCGCAGGCGAGCAGCTCCAGATGGTGAGGGCGAACGAGGGCCCCGCCGACGGGGGCACCGGCAGGCAGTGGACGGACTACGTCGTGGACCTGGACGCCAGTGGCCTGCTCGAGGGGCGGCACTACTGGCTCTGCTTCGACGCCGACGGCGACGGCGAGGACGCACCGCCCGCCTCGATCCTCGACCCGGGCTGCTCCGTTTGGGGCCGTGAGTTCCTGCTGGGATCCGGGGTGGCGACGGGCGCGGCAGCTATGGCAGAGCCTCGTCTTGCTCCTTTGGCCTCCTTTTCCTCCTCCTCCTCCGATGTTGAGACCGCAATGCTGGCAATCGGCCGGCGTGTACGCTACAACGGAGGCGATGAAGCGTGTTGTGCATCGCAGTGGCGTTGAGCATTGACCCCGACGGTAGCACCGCTGCAATGAGGACGCTCGGCGGCGATGCTGCTGGGACGACAGAGAAGTTGGTCCCGAGGATCAGGCCCGGATGTGTAGCAGGAAGGACGGTTCGACGCATGCCAGCGTGGCCGGAGGAGGCGACGCAGGCGGAGGCAGAAGACATGAAGCACAGGGATCTGGGTAACATGGGATGAACGAGGAGGGCGTGGTCGTGAAGAACGGATGAAAATGAGGAAATCCAGGATGAGGATGAGGAGGAGGAGGAGGAGGAGGAGGAGGAGGAGGAGGAGAAGAGGTAATGGGATGATAAGGAGGGCGGAGGTTGATAAGTCGTAAGGAATGTATGAAGAGGAGGAACCTATTACTCGCGTGGTTCTGCCCCCTCGCTGTCTAGTTCATGCAGGTGTTGCTCGGTTTCTTCTCCCAATCCCCTGTGGGCTTTTCCTCGTGCCCCCCTGAACTGCTATCCCGGCGCTCTCGTTCCAGCTCCCATTTTGTGCCTGTCTCTGGTTTCGACGGCGCTCACGCTTCCCTTCGACCTCCACGCCGTCGCTTTTCTGCCCCAGTCGCACGGCGCCCTTCGTCCCGCTCAGAAGGAGGAAGGGAAGGTGCAGGAAGATTAGCAGCAATCAGCTGGACGCGGAGGGATATTAGCATGAGGAACGCGAGGATGAGTTGGATGGCGGAGGATGAGGAGCCCGAAGAGGAGAAGCAAGACGGCGAGGGGTTAGGATGATAATTAGCTACAGCACAACGATGAGCGTGGGGGGGAAGGAGGATAATGAGCAGGAGAGGCAGGATGAGAAGGAGGTCAAGGAGCAGGATACAGAGAAGACGCAGCAGCAAGAGTACGAGCGACAGGAGAAAGGAGAGGAATGATGAGGGACAAGGGTCGAGAAGCATCGAGAGGAGGTTGCGAGCGATTATGTCTTTGAGCGTTACGACGCGCTGGCAGGTGTAGTTTCCAGCTGGAGGGCATACAACGTGGTTTCATTTTGCCAGGGGGAATTTTCGAGCGCGCGCAGGTGACGTGGCTTTGCTCATCTGCTCTTGTCCGCTAGAGTTTCAGTATCCGTGCACTGACCAGCCGTCCATTACTTGATGGGTCATTGTTTCGAGCTTGGGTTTTTTCGGGTCAATCAGATGACTCCGAGTGCTCCCCCGCCTTCTGCAGTCGGGTGTGCCGCGTATTCTCGTTTCGATACGGTGGCATTGATAGCTGCATCTGCAAAGTGTACCATGCGGACGCCCATTTACCACGGAGGGTCACACCACGGCGGACCACGCGAGCAGGGAGGGCGTGGCAATTTCGTTGTAGCTTGGGCCCGTACCCGGACATGCAAACACTCTGGCGTGCCACCATCTCTCCACGGGCTTCAGCAAAATGCACCCGCGAGTCGAGGCTTGCCACGCTTGGCGCCCCTCGAAAACACGGGTACTTGTGTTCTCTCGGCTGGAGCAGGGGAGGAGGGCGGGGCAGGAAGTGGAGGAGACCAGGCGGGGAGGAGGAGGAGGGCGGAGGGAGAAGGAGAAGCACTTGTGGGAGGCGAACACGGTGGAAGCGGACGTGGCACAATATTCATGCATTGTTTTGCTATCACCGAGCACTGATGGCGAACTTGACATGGCTAAGGGGCGCAGCTTGATGGGTTTGCCAGTCTCCTGTGCCGAGGACGATCGCGTCACGTATTGGCACTGCGCGATCGTCCCCTCCCTCATGCCCTCTCCTTCCTCTCCATGTATAGTAGAAACAACCGAACTTGTTGAAGGAATCTACCCCGGGCAACACGGGTTTCCGCTTCCACGTGACGGCGTTGGAGGCTGCTGCTTCGCCATCGATCCAGGAGCCTTCTTTCATTGATTTGGAGCAGTTTTCAACGATGCTCAGAAGGGGTGGAGGTGCACAGGAATGGCAGCGCGCGCGAGGCGGTGGCGAGAGTGGGGGCCTTGTGGTGATAAGATTGGGGGCTTCTTGGACCGGAGGGTCTTCTAAGAGAGCCCGGGAGGCTTCTGAGGGGGCTTCTCAGAAGGAGGAGGAGGAGGAGGAGGAGGAGGAGGAGGAGGAGGAGGAGGAGAAGGAGGAGGAGGAGGAGGAGGCAGAGGAGGAGGAGGAGGAGGAGGGGGGGTTTGGAGGAGGATGAGGATGAGGAGGAGGGTGGGGGGGCGGAGGAGGAGGAGGAGGAGGACGAGGAGGAGGAGGAGGGTAGGGGCGGTGGAGGAGGAGGAGGAGGAGGAGGAGGAGGAGGAGGAGGAGGAGGAGGAGGAAGAGGATAAGGAGGAGGAGGAAGTCCCCGAGCGCTTCGACGAGGGCCCCTGTCTTCTCGTGCCCGCCCGAGCGCTCTCTCAGAAGCCCCCGCCCTCGCGCCCCCCTCCCCGTGCGCGCCCCCAGCTGGGGAGGGCATCCTCCTCCTCCCCGCCGCTCTCCGCAGCCACTTTGGCTCCAGGCCCAAACTTCCGCATCGTTTCACCGATCCCGCACCCCATCGTGACCCCTTTACTCGGATCCCCACCATCTTACCACCCCAGTTGGGGATACGCCTCTCGAAACCCGACGGGAACAGCTTGTCTCCCCATCCAAGGGGATGAATCGGCCAGTGGGGCCCAGGCAAGGCCCGTTTCGTCAATCGGCCAGTGGGGTGAATCGGCCAATGGGACCCAAGACTGTGCCCGGCTGCCTCCAGGCTCGTCGCCGACTCGCCGACGCCATCAAGGGGCCCGATGGCCGCCCACCCCGGGGGGCCCGCTGGCCTCCCGCGTTGGGCCCTGCGGGTGGCCCCGCTTTCGCACCCGCTCCTCGAGCCGCGCCCCGAGCATTCCATACCTCTTGGCGCCACGCGCTGGACCAGAGTCGGCCCATGGGAGTCAGGGGAACGAGCAGTGACATAAACAGAAACACCCGGAGGCCGGCGCGGCTTTCTCGGGTCGGCGCTGGGGCCCCCTGGCGGCGCCTCCGTCGCCGCCCTTGGCGCGCGGAGCGCGCCAGGGAGGGGGGTCCAGCGCGGATCCAAGCAATCCGCGCGGACATCCGAGTTGTTACGTTTATGTGATTGGTCGTTCCCTTAGCCAGACGAGTGGCGCCAAGTCGTTCAGTACACCATGGCCGGACCTCTTCCAGCGGCAACGAGCTCTCCACCTCCCGCAGTCGGCCTTGCATACGTGCCCGTCGACGGATGCGTAAACAAGAACATCGTGAAGCCCCGCAAGAGCGTCGGCGTGCTGCCGCCAGAGATACGCTCGCCGCCAGGGGCAATATAGGCTCCAGTATTCAAGGACCCGCAGGCAGCGACCACAACGCAGGTCGAGCACCTGGACGCTCGTCAGCACGTCCCGCTCGATCATCAGCTCCACCAGCATCGGCAAGTGCACCAGATTCAGCGATAGACATTGAAACGGCCCACGCTCGCTTTGCAGTTGCACATGCACCCCATGCCGCTGCAGCTCCAGGCTCCGACCCACTCGCAGGTGCTGGTGACCCATGGGGGTGTGCTCGCGCGGCTCAACAGCTCGCCGATGACCCCGACGACCTCGCCACCCTCCAGGCACCCGAACTACGGCGACCTGCGGGACTCGCTGCACCAGCCGAGGCCGCTCTTGCATTGGGCGGCCTCCCATGCGCCTCCAGCCGAACCTGCTGCTGCTGCTGCTGCTCCTCCTCCTCCTCCTCCTTCTCCTCCTCCTTCTCCTCCAGCCGAACCTGCTGCTCACGCCCCCCCGCCCATTGCCTTCCCCACCGAACCCCACGCTGCCCTCCAGAGCCGCATGCGGCGATACACGCACGCGAGCCAGCGCACTCCAAGCTCAGGCAGCTCAGCCCTCACGCAATCCCGAGGCAGCCTCCGAGCGCCTCTTCGGCAGCAAGTGCTCCGAACTGAACGCCGAGCTGATGGCCTTCGCGACATCGTCGCCCATGCCCGCCGCAGACAAGACCGGCAAGGTACTCACCAACAGCGGGCGTGGCAGCAAATTGACCAGATGCGCGGCACCCTTGCGGCCGCAGCGGCCAAGGCCCTGCCAGTCAGCCACCACTGCGCCTGCCCGGCGCGCCTCCCAGCTGGCGGCCAGGGTATCTTGGACGGGTTCTGACGGTGCGCGGGGATTGGACAGTTCTGGTAGAGCGGGTGGTTTGCACTCAGCAAGCAAATCTGTCGCGCCCCATCTCAGGCCGGAGGGGAGGAGACAAAAGTAGCGGGCAGGAGCGGGCCCGTATCATGAAAATGAAGGAGGAACCTCCATATTGAGAGACTCCCATATTGAAAAACAGTCAGAACACCTGACGCGTACAAAGCATAAGAACACCATACATCTAAACATCGATGTATTTCTGAACATACGCTGAAAACGACACACGCGTTATTACATTCCAGATCAATCTAAAAACGTCTCGGGGACACGATCACTTTGAGGGCATCCGAGACATGGCATTGCAGATTGTACGGGCACGTGAAAACACACAACTCACAATTGTTTTCGTGCCTTCGGCCTTCCCCCCGGGCTGCTCCAGCCCAGAACCCGCCCAGGCTTTCTTTTTTTGGGGGGGGGGCGCACCGGCTCGACGGAGCGCCTCTGGTCGCAGCTTGTCGTCCGAGCTCGGGAGATGTTCTCGCCCGGCGGCTCAGGACGAGGGGGAGGAAGAGTGGGAGGGGGAGGAGGGGGAGGAGGGGGAGGAGGAGGAGGATGAGGGGGAGGAGGAGGAGAAAAGGAGGGGGAGGAGAAGGGAGAGGAGGAGGGGAAGGAGGGGGAGGAAAAGGGAGAGGAGGAGGGGGAGGAGGAGGAGGAGGAGGGAGGAGGAGGAGGAGGAGGAGGAGGGGGGAGGAGGAGGGGGGCGGCAGAGGGTCGCGGCGGCATCTCCCTGCGCGCAACCAGGCGGCGGCCGGGCAGGCCCTGTCGCTGGTCTGCTCGGGGGACCGGCGGAGGCGGACCGATGCGCGGGCCTGGTCCCTCCAGGGGAGGGGGGGAGGGCTGCTCTCTACAAGCGCTGTGGCCCGCACGGCCACGCCGCATCGTGTGGAAGAGGCGCCTTCCAAGGGCAGACCTTGCATTCAGTCGGGCGTGTCCCTCTGCAGGTGGAATGTCCAAGAACACTCCAAAACAGACTGGGGACGTTTCTTTTCGTATGTCTGCGCCTGTTCGTCCCAAAATC